GGCTGGGAATCGCGGTGGTATGAGTCCGGCCCACCCTCGGACCCAGGAGCGCTGCAGCTCCCGGAGAACTCGCTGCCTGGGCGCAAGGCGCGGGGGATAATTACATTATTTGTTTGTTTGAGCTCACTGTGCTTTTCATTGTGTGCATTCGCAAGTATAAACATTTTCCAAGTACTGTTTTCATTGTGCTTCATCAGTTCTGGTATGTTGTACTGGTATTATGGTTTGATTCTAGAAGCTAATTTCTTCCTTGAGGTTTTCTACAAGCCATTGGTTATTCAAGAGTGTATTGCTTAATTTCCATTCATTTGTATATTTCTATAGTTTCTTTACCATTGGTTTCTTTTCATTGCCCTATGATCTGATAATATGCATGGGATAATTTCAATTCTTTTGTCTCTACTTAATTGTGCTTTATTAGCAAGTGTGGTCTATTTTGAAGAAAATTTCATGTGCTGCTGAGAAGAATGTGTATTCTCTTTTAATTGAGTGGAACACTCTGTAGGTATCTATTAAATCTATTGTTCAAGGGTTTGGTTCAACTCTGATGTTTTTCTGATGATTCTTTTGTCTACTTGATTTATTTGTGACAGTGGGGTATTGCAGTCCCCTACTGTAATAGTGCTGATTTTTATATGATTTTGTATATCCAGTGATGTTTGTTGTATGAGGTTAGTTTCACCAGTGTTTGGTTCATATATGTTTATAATTGTTATCTCTTCCTGTTGAGTTGAGCCTCAATATCTAGTGACATTCTTTGCTGCTTCTGATTATTTTTAGCTTGAAATCCACTTCATCTGAAAACAGGATAACTACTTCTGCTTGATTTGGGTTTCCCATTTCATGGAATATTAATTTCAATGCTTTGATTTTTTTTTTTAATCTGTGATTTTTCTTTGGGGTTAAATGTATTTGTTATATATATCATACTGTTAGCTTTTATTTCTTGATCCATTCCACAAATCTGTGTTTGTTATCTTTTTGATTCTAAGACTAGGTGGCTTAAACAAAAGATGGCCTTTTTTCTGATAGTTGTGGGAGACAAAGTCATAGATCGTGTGTGACAGGTGGCAGGGATGGTTTCTGCTGAGGGCTCTAGTCTTGCTGCAGAAGGAACCTTCTCACTGTGTGTGGATATAGCCTTTCTATTGTCCATGGAGAGAGAGTGAGACAGAGAGAGAGGAAGTGTGCAAATGAGAGTGAGACTGAGAGAGAGAGAGTGAGAGAGTGAAAAAGCGAGAGAGAGAGAGAGAGAAAGAGAGAAAGAGAGAAAGGGAAGAGAGAAGGAGAAGGAGAGGGAGAGGTTTAGTGTCTCTTCTGTTCTTATATGGACACAAGTCCTATGGATCTCAGCCCTAAATTTGCAACTTCATTCAATCTTAATTACTTTAGTGCTTTATTGGTCCTATCTCCAAATATGGAGACAGGGAGTTAAGTCTTTATCATATGAAATTTAGAGACATAATTTAGTTCATAACACCACAGGCTCCATCAAAAAATATCACATTTGTCCAAACATTGTGGCACACACCTGATTCCCAACTCCTCAGGTGGCTGAGGCCAGAAGATGGCAAATTCAAGCTCATCTAGGCAGCTTTGGAAGACCTAGTCTCAACACACAATTAAAAAGACCTAGGTTTATAGGTTGGTGGATGAGCACTTCTCTAGTACAGGAAAGGCCGTTGGTTCAATTCCTAGTAATGGAAAAAAATAAAATAAAACAAAAACCCCCAAACCCATGTGAGAGCTGCTCAAGAAGATGAACATTTAGCCACTTACACTGTACCATGCTCTCTTCTAACCTTGTTCTTTTTCTCCCCAGCTAGACAGCATGGACTTCATTGAGAATGTCATGAAGTGTATCCTGAACACCATGAGTACAGATGATCTGCTGAGGCTACTAACTCATAATAAAGTCTGGAAGACCTTTGTGGAAGAAGCTGGATTGTCTAGGTATCTTGCATAGTGCCCCTGAGCAATGCCAACCTGACCCTCATTGCACTGGATTACTCTAGTCACATATCCCTTCTCCAGGCAATTTCCTGGTTGATAGTGACCCTTCTCCAAAACCCTTGAGGGAAATTCCTTCCCTGTTATTCCTTGGCAATGCATGACCTCAGGCGGAGGGGAGTTGACCCTCAGAAGGGACAGGATCACTTCTGGCACCTGCTTGTTATGTGACTTTCACAAGTTACTTTACCACTTTCTGCCTTAGTTGCTTCATCCATTGTGTTTTATTGTAAGAAAATAAGATAACACATAGAAAGTGCTTAACATAGGGTAACACACAGTGGGTGATCAAGCAAAGCCAAATTTTAAAAGCCAGGTGGGAAGAAAGTAGGGCCAAGGGTCTCCTTCGGTGATATGCCAGCCAAGAAGGACTGGCTTCCCGGTGGGTTAAAACAATTAAATGTTGGCCGGGGAGATAGCTTAGTGGCACAGTGTTTGCCTGGCAAGCACAAGGTCCTGAATTCGATTCCTGGTACCAAAAACCAAACAAACAAACAAGAAAATGAAACAAAAAAGACTCCTTTAAATGTGATTAGTGCATGTTCCTTGGGATTCCACATCTGACCATTTTTTTTCCCCAGCCAAGGAACTATACAAACACAGTAACATCTTTCTGTGGCCACAAAGGCAAAGAAGCCAGAGTGGAATTGGACAGATCTGGGTGGAAACGGGGCTGTTTCTGCCTGATCCCAGACTCCAGGCTTATGCTGTGGACACTGAGATTGTCAACTGTGTGTCAGCACCAGTGATTCGATCTGACAGGACAGTGGCGAAGGCCTGGGAGTGAGCTGTGGGGTAAATGGAGGGAACTAAGTACCCTCAGATAGTACCTTACAAAAGACCTAGAAAAATGCACTGGGGTAAGATCCAAGGCTCAGGACTGAGGGAGAGGGACAGTTGAATGGAGCAATTTATGAAATCTGGGGCCACAGGGTTGGGACCAGTGTGAGCCAAAGGAGGGGCCAAATGTTCAAAGCATAGGCAGGCCATGGGCCCAGCAGAAAACACGTGACAGGTAATGGGATGCTTTGTCCTCCTGCCAGGGACCATCACTGATGAGTATAGGGGGCTATGGGTTCTGGGTGCTGGGCAGTTCTCAGCTCTCATTTTGGATACCCTTCTACACTAGTAGCCCTTGACCATTTGGAAGGCAGTGTGGCTTAGTGAGAACTTCTGAAGAGGGAATAATTTGCTCTCTACCTGTGCAATTCTGGAGAGTCCAAGAGACTCAGAAGTCCTCACCAAAAAGGAAAATACTCCCTCTATTATCAAATCCAAATTCATGTCCATTTAGGCCTAGCAATTCCTGTAGATGGGTCCTTATGTCATATGAATCTTTGTACCTGCCCTTGGCTGCACACACCTGAAGCTGTCACCAACTAAGGTGTTTATCTGAGAAACACTCTGAATCTGGGGGTGCCAGGTCAGGAGAGGAGTGGGGTATGTCAAGATGCAGTAAGCCAGTTGCAGAGTCAGGGTGTAGGCAGTGCCAGCAGCCAGGTCTCCTGATTCCATTCTACTGCAGAAGCAACAGGACTCAGGGACATTTAGTTGGGATGGGCAAAGGGCATCAGGACAGGTCTAGAGCTGATGGGAGACCAAACAAGATGCACAAACTCTTCTGATTCTGGGGTTTCCATTTTTCAGTTTTAATTTCCAAGAATTACCCAAACTGCAGAGTCTGAGGGCACAGGCCCTAAGACCATTCTTATTTTTGATACCAACCACCTACAGGGTTGATTTAAGAGAATTTACAGAACTCACTGTAAACAGTTATGACACAGTTTATCTCCAGGAAAGGACACAGTTAAAATCAGTCAGAGGAACAGATACATAAGGCAGAGTCTGGGGAGTTTCAAACATGCAGCATTTATTGTCCACAGGACACAGTGCAGCCCTGTACTGAATGTGTGACAATTCAGATGGAATATTGCCAATCAGTGTGGCTCACCCTGAGACATAATATATTATTCAAACACACATCAGAGCAGTGCAGAAGGCTTTAAACAGGAGGATTGTGGCAATGCGGGAGAGAGATCAGATACAGTAAAGACAGCTAGAAACTTAGAACCAAGAAGAAAAGATGGGCAGTTGTGAGCTAACAACTACTAGGGACGTCAAGAGTAGGGGAAATCTGGCAACAAGGTTTAGTGGGTCTCTTCCTAAAGCAGGTCTTGGGATAACACAAGTTCAGGGATGGGAACTTGGACAGGTGTAAAGAAAGAGCTTCTCATTCATCTGACCTGATAGGAGTCTTGCTAAGCCCAAAGTCACAGGGCAGAAATTGAAAGCCAAGTCAACTACTAGTTGAAAAGAGGCTCAGATGTTTCTAACTAAATTTTGATCAAGGAAGAGTCACTTTTAAGCCAATCCTTGATGTCTAGAGTTTTGGTGGGCTGGACCACAGTGTCCTCATGGTTTACCTGAAGACTCCTTCCCATCCCAGAGGTTAGTTACTTTACTGTAGGACAGAAATGAACCCATAATCACCATCAACATCACCATATGAAGGCCTAGTGTCTTTTTTTTTTTTTAAGAGTAAAAGAAGGACAACATAGCAATAGGGGGATTCACCGAATTCCAGACAAAGTGGTAGGACATTATCAATGGTTGTTATTTTACCTATTGGCATCTTCAAGATAGTTTCTCAGGAAAACAAATAGATATATAATAGTGAGTTACAGACAAAAATGGCAGGAAATTATCAATGCTTGTTATACTATAGCTTGGTTTCTCTAAAGTGGTCTCTAGGGAAAACAAATAGAGCTATACATGAGTGATCAATCAAATAATCATTGACTATTCTCAATGGTTGTTGTTGAAAGCACATAGTAATAAACATACATCTGTTTACAAAATAGCATAGGAACAATACAAACAGTACAGAGTTATGGATAGATTGGTAGGAAATCATCACTGGCTGCTGCAATACATGTTGGCATCCTCAAAGTGGTTTCTCAGGAAAACAAAGATATGCAGGAAAGATCCAACAAGTAGTTACAGCCCAAGGGTTGTGAAAAATAGCAAATTATCTCATCAGTGACTCCCCTCACTGAGGTGTGACGGCTGGAAGGTCAGGACTGAAAAGAAGGACCGAGAGACTAGCACCTGTGTCCAGCAATGGGTTGTCCACTTTTTCCTCTATAATCATGATTTCATGGGACTTCTCCTTGAAGACAATGGTCCAACCAGAGGGAGAAGGCAGAGTATGCCCTGGGCCCCTACATTCCTGCCGGACCAGCTGGTAGGAGGGGTCTGAGCCCTGGGGTCCCCTCTCCAGAGGGCAGCCCAACCTCCAGTAGCCACCCCCATGGTCAGAGCATGGCCCAGGGGGCCTCCCAGGGCAGTCCCTCCCAAGGTGGCCTGGTTCCCAACAGCAGCAGCAGACGAATGCAGTCGACAAGCCCCTGCTGGGGCTCCAAGAACCAGCCCCGTGGTCTGCCTTTCCCAGCGTTGCATCAAAGGTAGCCGTCCCCTTTCGGGTCTCTCTGCCCTCTCCCCTTGGCCTACCCTTCGTCACGGCCACAGGACAGTGAGGAGGCGACTCCCACTAACATCTCAAGCGGGGGCAAAAGCCATCCTCCGCAGCCCCCTTCCACTATCTGGGGCTGACTGAGCAACAAACCCATCCTCAAGAATAGTTTGTCCCCCTACTGAACTGGGATCCAGGAAAGTATGCTTTATCAATGCCTCTTGTCTAAGAAAGCAGAGGGGTGTTCTCGCCAGCCTTCCAGCACATTGGGACCCCGCAACCACTTAGTGTCCTCTCCCCAACCGTCAACACAGGCAGCAGGAATGTGTAGATGAAGACCTTGGCCCGCTAGTCAGTGTCAGCACTATCAGGTGCGAAGTGTCTCAGGCAGGTAACCTAGACATGGACCTTCTCCATGAAGGCGGTTCTACAGAACCTGAATATTGGGCCACCATGTAATCCACGAAGTCTTGGTGCAGACCTCTCTGGAGCTCCACTCTCCCCTCCACTGCAGCCTGCACAGTTAGGGGAAGAATGACCTCCAGGGTGGTCTCCTCAGGTATTGCGCAAGGTCCTCTAGGTTTCTGGCTCCCGAATGACTCTCGCGTCCCCAGTCAGCTCGACCTCTGAGTTGTCGGGTGTCGATACTCTTGTGTTCTCCGAGTCCTTGTTCAGCATCTGCTCCTCCGCTGACTCCGGGCCTTTCTGACTCTCAAGGGCAGGGCCAAGAGCGACCCGCTGTGTGGCATGTTTTCCCAGAGGCTTCTCCATGTCGGGATGGTTCACACAGGTCTCTGGGCGGGCCTAGTGTGTCGGTGCTTCTCTGTGGCACGGTGGTTCTCGACCACGTGGTGGTGGCCAGCCCAAGGGCCAACATGCGTCTCCATGCCACTTCCCGGGCAGCTGCTGCCTGCATTTCTGGGTGCCAGTGCAGTGGAGCTGCACTGGGCCCACGAGAGCCGGCGCTCCCCAGATGCTCGGCCTCCCCAGGCGGGCCCCAGCCACGCGGCCTCCCCATCCCCGGGCGGGCGCCTGTGTGGTGGGGTTGTGCTGGGCCCCCAGCAGAAGGCCTAGTGTCTTTTACGAATAGTGTTGCAGATTCTAGATTTTTTTTTTTATTTTGAAAAATTTGTTGATAAATTATGAGAAATTTTGGGGCCAGGACCCACATCTAAAGGATGAAATTCATTTATGCTTTTTTATGTAATGTGAAAGTAATTCTATATAATATTTTAGTATGCCTGTGCCTTGACTGTGACCTATCCAACAAGGTCACGTGTGGAATTTTCTACTTGTGCCCTCAGGCAAGTGTTTAAAAGCTGTCAGGGTGGTGAGCATTTTTTGATATAAGATTTTCAGAGTAGGTGTGCCAAACTATATGGCACTGCAACCAAAGTCTCCAGTCAAACACACACATTCAAGTGGGGAAAAGATTCCAAGTGCCTTTCAGATAGATCACTCGCCAATCAAGAGGGCAAAACGAGGCATCCTTGAGTAAGATTAATTTTTCACTACACACTAAGTCTCTCTGAATTAAGCATTCAGTTGCCGCACTTTTCCCTTCTCTTTGCTCATCTGCAGAGCTCCTATTCTACATACAACTTGGCAGTGATCACACTGACCTGAAGAAAGAAAGCATCTTATGAAATGTCTGCCTCTAAAGAGAATCTTAAGATGAATGTACTCAATGGCCTTTGGGTTCACTAACAACCATACACCCCATCTATGATGTACCAAACATGTTCACTGGTGAAGGAAAAGTTATGTCTATCTGTAAAATTTATTTCCATTTCATTTACAGTAAAGCCCCTGTAATTTATGCAGGATAGACCCTACTGATCCTACTTTACAGATAAATAAAATGCCTTTCTTAACACCAGACCTTTACTGTTGCAGGGATGAAGCAAAGGAGCTGCATGATTATTTAAAGAAGTTAACAGCAAACAGGACAACAGAGAACAAAAAAAAAAGACTCCAGGAAGACACCTTGGCTAGGAAGAAGTTTTTGGAAATGTTTCCTAAGGTAAAAGCGGACATTGAGTCATGTACCTGGAGACTTCGTGCCATTGCCAATAAGGTTCACAAGGTGCACAAAGACTGCACCGTCTCCAGTGTGGTGACCAGCTCTGTTGGTGCTGTCTCTGGAGTCATGAACATCCTTGGCCTGAGTCTAGCACCATTCACAGCAGGGGGCAGTCTACTGCTCTCAGCCGCTGGGAAAGGTCTGGGAGTGGTGACTTGTGCAGTTAGTGTTACCACCTCCATCATAGAAGAGTCAAACATATGCTCAGCTGAAGCTAAAGCCAGCCACATCCTGTCAACCAGTGAGGACAACGTGAAGAAATTGCTAGTGGCTGTGGATAAGATTGCACCTGAATTTATTAGAAATTGTAGGAAATTCATCAAGAACATTAAAGACATGGTGGAGAACATTCATTCTCTCAGGAGAGCCCTAGCCAACCCTCTCTTGGTGTGCGATGCCATCCGCTTCATAACCACTGGGGGACTCTCTGCCCAAAGGGCTCAGTTGGTGCAGAGAGCACTTCAAGGCACTGCCCTGTCCATGACCAGAAGAGCTCGGATCCTGGGTGTGGTCCAAGGAGGTTTCTTCCTTGGGATGGATGTGTACTACATTGTGAAAGACTCAAAGCATTTACGTAATGGGGCAAGGGCACCGCTAGCTGAAGAACTGCAGCAAAAAGCTCAGGAGCTGGAGAAGATGTTGGAGGAGCTCATCCAGATCCACAGGACTTTGTAGTTAGGTCTGACTCAGTGACCCTTCCCCCAAACAATGCACAGGTCAGGGTACGTGCTCTGGACAGAGGTATGGACAGATGCACACATTATAATGGCAGGAGGAAAAGGATGAGATCAAGGCTATGCAACTGGGCATGAAGGAGTTTGGTGTTTTTTGTGAGTGACCACGGCAAGAGAGAGGTTAATGCAGATTACATTTTGGTTAAAGAGAAGGCAAGATGCAAGAAGAGTTCAAGAAATGAAAGTCAGTATACATAGTGCACCACATAAATAGGAGCAAGGATAAAAATCAGATCATCTCGATTCATGCAGAAAAAGCCTTCACAAAATTCAACATCCACTTATGACAAAAGCCCTGAAGGAACTACAGATTGCAGGATTATACCTCAATCTAATATAGTCTATTTACCACAAATCCATATAAACATCATCCTGAATGGAGAAAAACTGAAAGAACTTACTCTAAAATCAGGAACCAGGTGAAGATGTCCACTTGCTCCACTGCTATTAAATGTAGGGCTTGAAATTTTAGATAGCAACTACTCAAGAGAAAGAAAAACAACATAAATAAGAAAAGGAGAAGTTAAGTTATTCATATTTATAGATGCTATGAATCTATATTTAGAAGATTCTGAAGACTCTCTTAAAAGACTTCTACATTTGAAAAACAAGTTCAACAAGGCAGCAGGGCACACTAACAACTTGAAAAAATCAAACACATATCTAAACAACAGTAATGAGCTAGATGACAAGCAAATCAGGAAAGCAATTGCATTCACAGCACCACCCCAAAAAATTAAAATAGAAATGAAATTTAATGCTAGGAATCAGCTTAATCAACATGAAAGTCTTCTACAATGAAAGTTAGTAAACACTGAAGAAAAAAAGAAAGATGACACTAAAAGTTAGAATGACCTCCCCTGTATTCCTTGGAATCAAGTCCATTGCTCAGTTTTTTGCCAGCCCTGGAAACCAAATTGTGCCATTGGTAGTCATGGTGAAGAATAAAGCATGGTGAGAAGACTGGAAGCCAAGAGCTTCCAGCAGGCCTGGGGCCCATGGAAAGAAAAGGCTAGCAACTCCTAAGGGTAACCTCTCCTTTGTTTAATAAATGTGCAAGCTTGTGTTCAGAGGTGCAACTGGGGCCATTTCCCCTGAGAGACCACTTCCCCTGAGACATGGAGAGATTATTTCTAGAGAGCCAGGCCAAATGCTTGAGCAAGAAGTTCAGGAGCCAGATCGTGGGTGAAGTCATTACAGGTATGGTCTTTTTGATGGATGTGTACTACCTTGTGCAAGACTCAGTGTATTTGGGCCCAAGTAAGTGACTCCCTCCACAAATAGTGCAGAGGTCACATGACATGTACTGGACAAGTCATGGAATGTTGGAGGCATTTTATTAGAGGAAAAAGGGGATTTTTCTGAGTCATTTGTAGAAAAATGGATGCAACTTGAGACTATCCTATTAAGTGAAATAAATCAGACATAGAAGTTTAAATATCCCATGGTTTCTCATATGAGAAACCAAAAATGTAAATAAAGAACAAAATAAAAGTTAGATAGTAGGAAATAGGCAGATAGATATATTGCAAATGGGAAAGGGACCATGGGATGGAGGGAGGGAGAGGAAAAGGAGGGGCTAGTGATGAAAGAAAGAATTAAGATGTGTTAAGCACAAGTACTAACTCCCCATGAAGAGTGTAATCACTATGTACTGCAAACGTGCACTGTACTAATAAAAAGAAAAATTGAAAAAGGAGAAAAGAAGTTATTATTGTTTAGATCTTAAATATCTCTCAAAATCTCCTGTGTTCAGAGGTGGGGAGTTTGGAAGGTGATTGGATCCTGGTGGCACTATACTCATCAATGGATTAATGATGATTTTTATGGCTGAATATTTTAGGCTGTGGGGCCTAATCAGAAAAGGGGAGGGGTAACTCTGGGTGGGTGTGACCTGAAAGGGGTCATTCGTCTACCTAACTCTTCTCCTCTCTCTCTACTTCTGCCTGCCATGGGTGGAGCAGCTTCCCTCCATCAGGCCCTTCTACCGTGTGGTTTCTGCCTTGGAGCCAGCCAGCCGTGGACTGAACCCCTAAAACCATGAGACAAAAGAAATCTCTCCAACTGTGTGTTGAATGCGTTGGGTATTTTTCCAATTATCAGAAAAATGATTAATATAGAGGATAAGATAAAGTCTATGCAAATGAGTGTTAAGGAGTTTGAATTTTTTGTGGTTGAACAGTGCATAGAAGATGCTTTTTAAAAGGAAGGTGTTAATGCAGATAGCAAGTGGGTCAAGTCAGTCAAGAATCTGAAGTCTATCTGGAGAATCTAGAGAAATTAGTGATAAGAAGGGAGTAGAGAGTGTGGGGAATAGGAAGAAAGTGTATATTTTGGACTAAATATACTTTGGCAGCATGAATAGAGACAAATGTAGGAACAAACAATGGGAAGATCAGGAACACAATAGAGTTGAAAATGGAAGGAAGTAGAGTTATACTTGCTGAAATACAGAAGAAAGAGGAGTGTAAAAGGGGACCTAGAGATTGAGGAAGGGTGGAGGGAGGGTGGCGGGAAGGGCAATAAAAGAATTAAGATGTTTAATGTACACGTGCTAACTCTGTATGGTGAACATACTTATGTACTGCAAAACACTACTAAAATGTAAAAATAAAAAACAAACAGAAGTTCCTCTGTCTGTGCTCTTCACAGTCTCCCATCCAAGCAACATCACTTTGTTTTCTTCTTGTTCTCTAGTCCTGTTTTCCAGAGTCATCTCACCTATGCCTTAGTCTAGCAGTAACAACCTCCTGCTCCCTCCATTCCTCTTCTTCTCCACACCTCCTCCTCTTGCCCCTTTCTATAGAGAGCCCTCCAGGTCCTCGTTGTGGCCCTGGAAGTTTACATTTGTAATCCCATGAAAAGTTACTGGAATTCTAATGAGTTAATTTCAATCTACCACTTCCACTGCAACCCATGGTGAGAATAAAGACACTAAGGCACATTTGTAGTTATGGGGAGCCAAGGGGTCCTAAGTCCAGTCATGTTCATATCTAGAACAAAGGCCTTGACCCAAGGCCGAATCCAGGTTTTATTCATTCATGAAGAAAGTAGTGGCTTGAGGATGAGTGACTGTGAGAACCATGGGAAGTACTAGGTACCATGAGCTGGGCCAGGCAGGAGGCCTGAAATCACCTCTGCAAATGCAGAGAGAAGGATATGCAGAAAGAGTAATCTGCATAACACAGTTGGGATAATATCTAATGTTTTTGGGTCTGTGCCTCATCTCTGACGTGTAACCTTTCAAGCCCCAGGAAGTCATAGCCTCTGTCCCAAGGAAGCTGGATCCCAGCCAACAGTGTGGAACACTGGCTCAACATCCCGCCTCATCCCGGCTCACACAAGGGAACAATGAGGAGTCTGGGAAACACACCTGCTGTGTTCTAAAGTTACCATCACCACCTTGGCCAGACCAATATGCATTGCTTAAATCCAGTTGAAGTGATAAGGAAAAGTCCTAGCCAGCTCTGTATGTATCCGTACATGGAAATAGGGTCAGATTAGCCAAAATGGAGACAGTTGCTTCTCTTTCAAGCAGAGTTGCCCAGGTGGTCCTACACTCCCTTCCCTTTGTACTTCCCTTCATTTCCCTCTTCTCTTCCTTTTCCCCTTCCCCTTCTTGTTTTCCTTCTCTGTCTCCATCTCCTTCTTCTTCTCCTCCTCTTCTTCCTTCCTTTTTGAGACAAGTTCTCACCCTGTAGTCAGGTTGGTCTTGAACTAAAAATTCTCCTGCTTCAGCATCTCAAATGCTGGAATTACAGGCATGGAGCACTGCGCCTGGCTTAGGCTGTGACTACTTGATAATGGTGATGGTGATGATCATGACAGTAGTGTTAGTGGAGCACGTGGCAGGTGTCCAGCCCTATTTTCATCAAAATTCTAATGAAATTCTGAGTGTTACACTGGAACAGTCATTTACTTGTGAGGGAGATGAAACCAGATTCTAGGAATATGTCATGACCCTGGAGGTCTGCAGAGATCAATCAGGTGGGTGTCAAGAGATCAACCTCTCTGAACCTCAGGTTTTTGGTCAGTTGGGAAGGGGCTGCTGTACAGGGTAATGTCTCTGATCTGTCTGGCTCTTTCTATCTTATGTTCTGGTTTAACAAATATAAACTGATTATTCCATGAAAATTAGGTATAAATTAACTGTTTGTCAAAGGAAGAAGATACACTCAGACCAAAGAAAGAGGCAGAAAGATTCAGAATTAGAGAGTCTAACCTTTATTGAGTGTCAATGTACAGAACCTTGCTCAAGGGCAGAAGCAAGACTGGTGGATCTTCATAAACTTTACCCAAGTGAGCCCATCCAAGCTGGAATGTACCTGGTTTCTCTCAAGCTAACATCAAAAACATTAGGACATTCCTGGGACTGATATCACCTGGATCTGGCAGCAAAATTCCAAGTACCAAATAAGGGTTGTGTTTATCTATGGTATGATGAGAAACAATGCAGGGAAGAGAAGGTAAATGTTTGTCAGGGACAATGGCATCAGTTAGGATTCAAGATGGCTGTGGTAAGATCAGCACACTTGCAGCCTCTGGGAAGGTGGTAGCGTGGTGAACAGCAGAGAAACAGCCTCTCTGAGATTTGTGTCCAGATGGGTCGCTGGGATCTAGGGAGGATCTGATGTGAAAATTGAAGTCCATGGGGAAAACAAAGAGACTTCAACAAGAAAGAGGGAGGTGGCAAGCAGGGCATTCTCCCTGAGCCCTGACACACAGTGTGGGAAGGATGATCTGAACCTGGAGGTGCATGGTGACTACTGGCAACCCCAGAGTCTCTGCAGAGAAAGGCACCAGTGCAATGGAGCGGTGGGTGCAGTAGACGGCAGTGGCTGGTGAGCTATTCGGATTCAGAGATGCCCAGAAGAGTGGGATTAGCCAGTGAGCATCCCTGAGAGGGGCCAACTGACCTCGGAATGCAAAGCAACTGTTGGCTCCATCTAGCAGCTCCTGGCATCAGGGTGAGTTGGAACCAAGTTCAAGTCAGCCGGAAGTCAAGGAACTGAGTTCAAACCTGCAGGGAGCCCAGTTCACCTGGCAGGAGACACACACTGTGGCTATTTCCATCTTCTGCTCTTCTGTCCCACTGCTTCTTCCTGTAACTGCTTTTATCCAGGTCCCCAGAGAGTTCTTATGACAAAAGAAACTCTTTTTTCCTAATTCCTATACTCTTTAGTCACTGCTTCTCCCTTATGCCAAGCCCCAGGACCTTGCCTTCTCTTTAATCCACTTCATCTACCTTAACCCCTCCCTGCTTGGGCTCAGCCACAGAAATGCACTGTTCTTTAACACCCAGTTGCATAGACTTGATCTCACCCTCTTTTCCCCTCTATAGCATTTAGTGCCTTTGTCTCTGTGTTTCAAATGCACCTGTGCCCTGAGCTCTGCACTGCTTGGGGACTCTGTCACTTAGTCAAGTCCACCTGCAAACTCTCATGGATCTGGATGAGCTCCTCCAGCTTCCTCTCCAGAACCTGAGCCTGCTGCCTGATCTCTGCAGCTGATTCTGTCTTTGCCCCCGCCTGCAAATGTGCCAAGGCTTGCACAAGGTTGTACATATCCTTCAGAAGGGCAACACCAGCATTTGCTGCACTCGTGATCCGTTCTTCTTTGGACATTGCCAGAACAGTTCCTCCAAGGGTTCTCTGCACCTGCTTACGACTTCGGACTGAGATTTCCCCAGTTCTCATGAGGCGGTTGGCATTGGCTAGTAACCGAGGTTTGGATTTGACCACATTAACGGCACAGATATTTTTCTCAATGCCTTCAAAGGCTTCCATACACTTTCTGGTTGCAGAAACAACTTCAGGTGTGACCTCATCCACAATCTGTAGAACCTCCTTCTGTGTGTTCATGCTGGTTGACAGCAGGCGTCTGGCTTCAGCTTGTGCTGACAACTTGTTTGAGTGGTCTACGATGCTCGCAGAAACACCAGTCACAGCAGCAGCTGCTCCCAGCCCTATTCCAGTAGCTGACAGCACCAGACTGCCACCTGCTGTCACAGGTGCCAGAGCCAGGCCAAGGATGGTGAGGATGCCAGAGACAGCACCGCTGGAGCCGGCCACCACGTTGGTGATGGTGCAGTCCTTGTGCACCTTGTCAACCTTCTCTGCAAGGGCATAGAGCTTGGCTATGCCCTCCTCCAGCTCCTTTTTCACATGAGGAAATGCATTCAAGAACCTCTCCCTCACCTGAAGGTCTTCATCACTGTCTGCTTCAGGCTCAGTCAGAGCCTCACGCACAGCATCTACCTCCTCCCTGGAACAGAAAATGTCAAAGGGTTAAGAAAGGCAGTTTGTCTGTTTGGAAAATGGGCTCTGTAAGGTGTATCCTGCGTACATGACAGAGGTTCATGATAATCAACTGAAAAAGAATTACACAGATGCACAGAATTTTTCTTTTAGATAGAAACATGTTTTGGATATCATTGTTTCATGAGGGGGTCCATGACCATACATCATTTTCAGATGCTCTTTTTAATGGTGGGTATTTGATAAAGCACCATCTCATGCAAGGTCGATGCCGTGATGAGTAATGTGTTTGTGGAACAGAAACACTGTAGAGGAACGTGGAGAATGGGAACAAGAATGGGGAGAGCCTTAGTTCAGAGAATCTTAAAACAAAGTGAGGAGTTAATCTTAACTGAAGGGAAGCCTGCACTTTGCCCTCAGCTGCTAGGTTGTGATCTGTAGGTCCCTGGAATTCCTGACTGTTAGGAGTGTCTGTGTTGGCCTGGGGACAACAGTGGCTGAGCATTCCTACTCCAAAAACATAAATCTGAAAAACACTAAAATCTGAAACCTTTTGAGCACCAACATGGACATGATGCAACAAGTAGAAAGTTCCATGCCTGACCTAAGGGATGGGTCACAGTCAAAGCACAATTATGCTGAAAAATTGCATGAAATTACATCAGCGCTATGCACACAAGGTGTAGAGAAACATAAATGATTTCATGTTTTGCTTGGAGTCACATTCACAAGCTATCTTTTAATGTACCAGCAAATGTTTCAAAATCAGAAAATATCTATTGTGGGAAATACTCCTTATCCCAGGGATTTCCTATACCGGATGCCCGTCCTTACTATGTGATGGGTGACAGGAGCTTGGGGATCATTTCTGACTTCAGAGAAACTGCGAATTAAAATGACTGACCTCCAGAAGCAGATGGAACCTGCAGGTCAGCCCTGACGTCTAGAGAACAAGGCAGGACTAAAACATTGTTGGAACCCTCTGACCCTCTTTTCCAGTGGGCTTTGACCTTGGCTTTCCAGTGCATCTGGTGCCTGCTCAGCCACGCGTCAGGGTGATGTTTCCCTTCACAGGCTGAGCCTTGCAGCCCGGCATCCCCTTGTGAATTGTTGCGCATCATATGAGGGAGCGCTGTGTCCTGGAGAAAATGCAAGCTCCATGCTCGACACCTGCTGGATTCTGACCGCTGGAACCTTTTCTCTGAGCAGTTACACCCTGGGCCTGTTCCTGTGAGTGTAACAAACCTCTGCAGTGGTACTCCGAGTCCCTCTAGTGAATTGTCACATCTGCATGGGGTTTTGAGGAATTCTCAGATTTTCAGTGATGCCAAAAATAAGGGCAACCTGGGAGACTGTGCCATTGGATTTGCAGTTTGGTTCACCCTGAGTAATAAGATATAAAAAGTAAATGCTCTGAGGCAAAAGAGATCAAAACAGTTCAGGTGGCCTCCTGCCCACTCTATTCCAACGTCTGATGCCCTTTGTACTTTGAGCTGAAGGTTGATAGATCCAGCTGCTACCAGATCTGATTGGGAAGGAGGAGACCTGGCTTTTACCCTCGCTCCAACCTCTCTACCTACCCTGCAGGTTACGTACACACCCAACCCTACGATCAGGACATTCCTGTCAGATGTCATGAGCCAAAATGACACCTTAGCCAGGGACACTTCTCATGAGTTTGTGCAAAGGCCGTGTGCAGTGAATTGGGAGACCTTGAGACCCATCTCTGCATCTACAGCATGAGAACCGTGGAACTGCACATGATAATAGAGAAAGTCCCTTTTGTGTTGTGGTCTTTCAGTGTCTTCAGACTTGCAGACTACACAAAGCTGTCAATCATTCTATCTGAGGACTCTGTCACTAAGCCACTGCTTCCTGATGGTCAGGGCTACTCTGTGTGAATAGAAGAGGGTCCCAAATGAGAGCAGAGAACTCCCCAGTGACCAGGAGTACTTGGAGGAGACAACCACCCACCAGCACAGCCCTCTGAGCTGTCTGGGATGGGTCCCAACAAGGGCAAGAAACAAGCCCTCGCCGACTGTGTCCTCTGCTGGGCCAGGACTCCCCATGCTTTGAGCCTTCAGCACCTGCCTTCTCTCAATGTCCAGCCCTGCAGCCCCAGGCTTCTTATTACTGCTCCATCCCAGACCCCGTCTGCTCTGTCCTCAGCCCTGGCTCTGACCCTGTCGCAGGTTGCTGTGGGCCTCTGGGAAGCTGTCTTCGTCCTCTGACTCCCAGCTCACTACAATCCTATCAGATTGAATCTCTGCTCCCACAGAACACATCACAATCCTGGTGTCCCAGGCATCAGCCTGCAGCCCTGTAGCTGACAGTCAGCCAGGGTCCACCCACCTCTACCCTACTCCATGGTGGGCTGTCTGCACCTTGGCACAGCATACTAGTACACCCCAGCACTCCCAGCACTCAGGAGGCTGAAGCAGGATGATGCAAAGTTTGATGCCAGCCTGGACAACATAGTTCCTGTATTACACAGAACACACCAAGTGACATTCACATAAATACCACAAAAATAAGTGTCTTGTTGTATTTGTACAGTTCCCCAGATGCAAAGGTAAATGACCTGAGCCAGAACCCTAGAAACACACTGATGAGATCTGCATTTACACGACTTTCTCAAGCAAGTCCTTCTTGGCTCCCATCTGTCGCGAGCAGGCTTGGCCCTGCTCTCTCCCTCCTGCCCTGTCAGTTCCCTTCACTTGAGCCCCTGCTGTGTGCCAGCCACATGCTCAGCACTTTCATGCCTTATCCTATTTTTCTTACAATGAAACTCGATGAATGAAGAAACTAAGGTAGAATGTGTTGAAGGGAACAGCAAAGGCTGCATAAGGGGCCGTCGGCAGCAGGGAGCGGCCCCTGTGGATGCCCTGTCCCTGAATCCTGAGGCCATTCACTGCCAGGGAATGACATGGAGATCAGGTCCCTCAGGGACTGTGGGAAAGAGGCACCCTGAACCCCTGCCACAGGAACACCTTGGTGGAAGTGTGTCTGTCCCTGAGAGCCCCAGCCCAGTGGACATGTGGGCAGCATTGCTGGGGCACCCCACACAGGTGACCTGGTCAAATCGGTCGTCTCCACCAGTATCTCCCAGGCGACATCGTCAGTCAGCAGTTGCTGCAGATCCTCACTGCTCAGTGTGTGCAGGATATGCTCAAGGACGACCTCTACGAAGCTGTCAGTGTCTGGTGGAGGAAGAAAGGACCAGGGTCAGTGACAGAGCAGGAGAGCGTAAACGGCTTTGAGCACAGGTGGTTCATATTCATCCTAGGAGCTTCTGTCACATCAGACCCTTTAGATGGAGAAACTAGTATTAAGGACCAAAATGTGTGTCCCAAACTTGTATGTTAAGCCCTGAACCCCACTGTCCAAATGTGGAGATAGAGCTTTAAGGAGGTGTGGTAATTTAGATCAAATGAGATCATAAAGGTAGGACCTTAATCTGTAGGACTGGTGTCCTTATAAGGAAAAATCTCTCTCTCTCTTCTCTTCCTCCTTCTTCTCTTTCCCTCTTCTTCCTCTCTCTCCCTCCCCCCATGCACAGAGAAAGGCCATGTGCACACACAGTGAGAAGACTCCTTCTGCAAACCAGGAAAAGCCCTGACTAGAAACAGCCCTGCCCCATCTCCATCATGGATTTGGCTTCCCGAACCAGTAGAAAAGAGGCTTCTGTTGTTGAAGCTGCCAGCCTGTGGACCCTGTGGCGGTCCCAGGAGGGGACTAGCACACCGGGGAAGCGCCTTCAGCACAGAGCTCAGAAAGTGAACCTCAGCCTGGGGAGCGGCAAACTCCCACACATGGGGTCACATACCCCGTGCGCACTGTGTGTCACATGGTGTGTACCTGCATCTTCCAACGTGAGTTTCAAACCCTTAGTACATTCTGAAATTCATTCACTGGGTTCAGAGCAGCACTTTTAAGAGGAAACAGAAGTATCAATAGTAGAGCATGTAGAGCACAGTAAGGTTGTGTGTTGCTTTTGCAAATTATTTATCTGACATTACATATAGAGTGGTACCTCAGTTCACGAACTTCGTTCTTTCCATGATTCTGGTGGCAAACAGAGCTGGACAAGAACTGAATCAAAGCCAGTGGTTCAGGGGCTGGGGATTTAGCTCAGCGGCACAATCCCTGCCTGGCAAGTGCAAGGTCGTGAGTTCAACTCCCGGTACCAGAAAAAAAAAAAAAAAAAGCCAGTGCTGAGGTTCAATGTTGACCTCATGGGAAAATTTCCTTCTGTTCTTGAGCAGCTCAGTTTGTAACCAGAACCAGGGAAAGAATTGAGCTTGTGAACTGATGCAGACTGTATGTGCTATACTACACACAGAGTATAGAGAGTAAATGTATGTGTATTCAGAGAGAGAGCAAGGCAGAGAGAAGAGCCTCTTAATCCATGGGACCTAGATATGTTTAGGGATCCAGAACCTGTAATCTTTAAAAAATATTTTTCAGATGTTTATTTTAATGAACACATACCAATTGTATTTATCAAGTACAGTGTGATAGTTCAAGGAAAGTTCTATCTTATTACCTCAAACATTTGTCATTTCTTTTTGTTGAGAACATTCACATTTTTTCCACTGTGTACTTTGATAGAGACAATTAAAAGGAATTTTCAATCCTTTAGAAAGAAAACACAGAGCACACCTGATACACTACTTGTTAATTGTGAGAGTCAGATACATTGATGTGTTCACATGGAAATAAATGAATGTTGACCTTAAATGTGGTAAATAGTGTAAAGGCTGTAAGTGGTCTCAGGTCAGCAGAGGGCGGAGTTACTGACTGAGTCACCCAGAAAGTGTGTGTGTGCAGGACAGGAGGTAACGGAATTACAGGCGGGGGCTGGGTACCAGTGTATATTCCTGTGTGCTGCTGAGACTTAATATAAAGTGTCTGCACTGGGTCCTCACAGGAGAGACATTCTCCTTACTTCATGAACAAACTGAGACCCAGCCAGGACAAGCGCTGCCCAAAGTCAGGAAGAAGAAAGCTCATCATTTAAACCCAAGTTTAACTGCCCAATTTTTTGTAACCCTTAGAGGTTTCATGTGTGTAAATTTTCCTATAACTTAAGCAATCCACTTTAGAATTTACTGGTTAGATTTTTTTAAACATATAAAGGTTTGAAGCTATGCACTACTGGGTAAAACTGTGCCGCAAACAGGATCCTTGTGCTCTGAGCCTGGCAGTGGAGGGCATTGCTCAGGTGGGCGGGGATGAGGTGGGGCTGGACTCTCCTCTCTGACCCTTGTGATCTTGGACAAGGCTGAGAGGCTGCCTCTGTGAAAGCACTGACTCTTCCTGGGGCCTGCACATGTCCAGCGGGAAACTACAGCAGGGTGGACACTTCCTCATTGCTTCGCACAAGCCCCGCCTGCCCAGTGCTGAGACAACGGCCACCAGACCCCCTGACACAGGCCGTGTGACTGTGCACACTGCAGGCCCCTCGTCTGTAGAATCCGGGGCTCAGCACAGCACCTCTGAGGCCGGGCTGACCACACAGGGCCTCGTGTCTTCCCTAGAGCTGCACCCGTCCAGGCTCCTTCCCTGCTTCCCACCATTACTTTCACCAGTTGGGGCTGAAAGGAGTAGCCGGCCCTGATTGGTCAGGAATCAGGCAGCGGGCCTGGGACTCTGGAGCCAATTTCTGCATGTGTCAGGAAACACACTTTCCGGTGGGATCCGGACCCAGGCTGCCCACTGTTACACAAGGAAGGTTCATTCCAGGAGCCCAGCAGTCCTGTACTCACCTGCGGCCCTGACTAGGAGGAGGGCTGGGGAGGAAGTGAGCACCTCAGCTCTGTCCTTGAGGAGAGGACTGAGAAGGGAAACCCCAGGCTCTGATGAGAAGATCCATATGTCCCTCAGGGGTCCCCTTTCCTATCCTCAACTATTCTGCATAATGGCTCTGGGCCAGGGCTGCACCTCAGTGGGAGGGGAAAAGAGGAACCCCCAGAGAAGAGGAAGCCGAGTACCTGGGGAGGGAGCACAGGCCTTGTTAGCAGCAGTAGCCATGATGTCAGCAGCAGAGTCTCTGAGAGTTTTCCTCCCAGCTCACCAGGGTGTCCAGGCTGGAGGGCAGGAGCAAAGAGGTCGTGAAATGGAAGGGCAGCCAAATGCGGCAAAGGTAGTAAGCGAGGAGCTAGCTTCGGGGTCTCCTAGGCCTTCCTCCAGGACAGCACTACAGGTCAAAACAGATGTCACCCAGGGTGAGCTCTGTTCCCCAAGCTCTGGGCTCTGTATAAAGGAAAGCAGTTATCCTGCTCCAGGTCCCTCTGTCTTCACCCCTGCCAGGCAGAGACCTTGGATCCTGTGAGGGAACAAAGAGAGTAATGGGGTGAGGACACAGCCATGTAGATCCCATGGAACCCACACACAGAGAAGTGGGAAGCCACGTTCTGCTAAGTGGCTTAGCAGTGTTCCCAGTTCTGCTGGGAACACTCGTGTTTGCTGAAGACGTTGGTTGGTGTTTATCGAGGGTCTGCAGTGTGCAGCCTCCTTCCCTGCACCTCATTCAGTGCTCACACACCCCATGGGGTGAGGACTTCCACGGCTCGTTTTAAAGCTGTGGGAACCATCAGGAAGGCCAGGTAATGCGTCCAAGTTTTCACAGAAGTGCAGGGGCCAGACTTGAACTCAGTACTCTCAGATCCAAATCCCATGATTTGAAGACTGCACTCTATTCCCTAAAATACAGAACATATATACTCATGCATGGGTGTTTATTGTCAGTGATGCTTCTCATTCCAAATTCATATCTGGTCCCCTGTGCCCGTGGCCCTGCCTTAGTAAACTTCCCTGTGCCCTCGGGTGCTCTTTCCTGCCTTGCTTCTGTATTTCTGCAGTTGCTGAGCCCCCTCTACTGCCCTGCCCTGCATTTTGCAGCTCACATTGTTTTTCATCCAGAGTAAGAACAACAGTGCAGAGCATTTTCCTTGTGTAAACTTTGCCTCCATTTTGCAGCTTTGTTCTGTGATGCCCTCCACCATCTTAAGGTACACGAGATGGTCCCCTCCGAGGTCTAGGAGATGACAGCCTCATGCTCTTAGAATTCCCAGCCTCCAGGAGGTAAATAATCCTCAACTTTATCAATAACCTGCTCTCAGGGATTTTATTATAGCCATGGACACACTCTCTTGGCTACAAAGAATGACTGTTATTTTGCTATCAAGGACAGCTTTACCTGGCTCTGGTCCCTGCCCCCCACAGATAGGGTGGCTGAGATGCCCGTAGGTAGAGGCACCCCTCACTTTCCACAGCCACAGTGCAGAGCCTCCTCCACCCACCCAACCTGAGACCATCCACAAGGGTTGTTTCTAGCGCCCCTGCCTGAGGGCTGTGGAGTCACACCCCCCTCCCTGTCCCTCAAGTAATGCAGCAAACTCCACCTGTTCCACTGACCATGGGAGTGACCAGTGTGTCCCTGGGCTGGGGGACACTGCCTTCAGAGACACAGATGACTTCTGCCACGTGAGAAGGAAAGAATAAGCCCATGCAGGTGTGAAGTGTCCCTGTCAGGCCCACCCAAGGTGGGGACAGCTCCCAGCAAGTCCTTGTCTCTGACTAGGACACAGCAGGTCTGGTCACATCCGGATCCAGCTCTTTGCTCTGTGACACTGTCTCAGCACCGCAGGCTCCCACGGCCATGGGATGCCTGGCCGGTAAGTGCAAAGCTACCCTCTTCCCCTCTCACCTGGCTCTTACTGGGCTTGGCCACAGGAAATCCAGGTTTCTGCTTCCTAGGGCTCTTGGCTGTCAGGACTGACTGTCTGACCTAGGCCTGACCAAAGAGGCACAAGAGAAAGTCGGCTGAGAGGTTTCTCAGGGACATGTGTTCTAAGGGACCTTCTTTCTGAGTCCAGTCCTGCCTGATCCAGAGACAGACTGGCATTCTGAGGTCTCCTGATGCTGGGACTGGCAGCTGAGGCAGAGGATGGGTGAGGCAGAAAGATCCGGGGCCTTGGTGACTCCACACATGGTCAGTGAGTCTGCACCCTGGGTCTCATCCTATCTACTCACTCTCAGCCTCACTTTAACTCTTGTCTGGAGCCTCCGCTGGGTGCCCGTGAGGGACACAGTGAGCAAGGCACTGTGGCTGAGCCTGCCAACCGCTCAGTTCCTGCAAAGGCTGTTGGTGGAGGAGAAGGGATGTTCCCAGGGAGAAGCCTGGGTGGCGCCTGTCTGGCTCTGTCCTGGCCATAGCCTCAGCCCAGCAAGGAGCCCTCCCTTCCCTGTCAGCTGTGTTCTGTGTTCTCCAAGGCGACAGAACAGAGGTTCCAGCATAGCCTCTTCCTCTCAGTGGTCAATATGGTCAACTCCCAAGGGTTATGACAGCACACGCCTCCTAAGGGATCTTTAATGTGCTGTGAAGGTCAAGTTCAAACCCTGAACACCCAGGCCCTGCTGCCTGCTGCAGCTCCTCCGTCCTCACCTCTCTCTTCCCACTGTGCACCTTCGTTCCAGGCCCTTCCTGGACCACGATCTGCATATCTTCTGAAGCCTGTGCTGGGCTACACCCTCCCCTGGACAACTGCCCTACCTTCCCTCCATGCCAGGACCAGCTCCTCCCTGCTGGTTGCACCAAGCTTTCTCCGGCTCCCTTGGAAAGAGGAGACTCCTGGGTCCTTTTATCTGGACACCTCATGTAAGGACACATCTATAGAATAGCAGACTTGTAGGTATATTATAGCAAAAGTTAGAAATCAGTTCATAGCCTGTGACTATGCTCACGCTGCCTGTCACGTAATAGTCAGCCTTGGCTATCTGCTTCTCTTTGATAATATGCTGGGCCTTCTTGACTGTCCGGCTTGTGTTTTTCTTAGTTACAAAAATATATTTTATTTCAAACTTGCTTGAAGGAGTTCAGGTCTAGGACAGACTGGCCCAGTCACGACCCATTTAATTCTACTTGCTCTACTCGTACCCACTCTTCTCCTTTCCAGAGTGTTAAACAATTCTTTTGAAGTAAACCTGCCTGACAATGTATGACCTAATTCTTGTATTCCATGTAACCAATCAGGTAATAACGTACTATCAGCTGTGTACTTCCCATTTGCAAACCCTATGTAAAACGAACCCAAACATAACTCTGGGCTGGTGATATGAGTCTCTAGGTTTCTCAGCAGACTAATATAGTTAAAGTTGCCTTTTAATGCCTTGGTGCAAAGAGTCTTCCATTTGGTTTGATATCGGTTTTTCTGCAACACCAGGAGACTGGGTTCACTCAAGCCAGGGCCCCTGTCATCATCCCTGCTGCAGTCGCATTAAGACCCCTAAGACCAACCAGCGTGGCCTCTGTCCCCAGCACCCCCTGCCCTACACACTCATTTGGGAGGCACTCATGGGACACGGAGCCCCAGCCTCTGAGGACACAGCCCAGGTTCACTTCCCTCCCAGGGGAGTAATACCAGTTGCTTTTTCCCTCTCTCCATGTTCAGCTCTTTCTAGCAGAGCACAACTAGGACTATGACTCACTTTGCACACACATTACACCAGTGATTTCAGGTCCTTTGGGTAGTTCTACCAGACTTCTGAGTTTCCAGCTATTACCTGTGTCCCCTCCCTACAACCTTGATATTTTATAGCAGGAGAAAGGGGAGAATGAAAAGGAGAAAAATTCAATAAACACTGGGCTGACCTACAGCTGAAGAATGGAAGGTCCTGAGGTGGTCTTCCAGGCCTGGTGTCCAGGTGACCCCAGGACCACACTCAGGTCTAGCTCCACCTCCCACCCCCACCCTTCACACCTGCCACTCAGGAGTGTGGCCAGGGACTTTCAGGAGAAAGGGGTGGAGACTATGTCGTTAGTGCCCCGGCTGCTCCTCTGCTGGCACAAATCAGGACATACTAGCTCTTCCACAGAGGTGTATTTGTAAACTAGCAACTTGGCCAGATCTAAAATAAACACTACTGCCCACACATATGGCCATGCACTCCATCTTGGTGGGTGGGGCATAGAACATTCTAGAGTTTTGGAGAATGTTCAGCAATTCCCACCTAGTTTCGAATGCCCCACAAGTGTGTCCTGGCCACTTAGAGTAAGAGTGTGCAAGGATGTGAGAGTGATGCTCAGAGAAGTTTGGTTTTAACACCAAGAAGAAAAGAGATAACTAACCATCCAACCAGAAGAGAGCACAGAATAGAGTCTAAGTTACAAAGCCACAGTGCTGCTGGGGACACCACTCTGCAACTTGCCCCTTTTGGTGCCCACATCTGGGCTCCATGCCTGTCCAGCACGCAGCACAGCCTCTGCCTGCTTCTTCCCGCCCCAACAGGCTGAGCCAGGGGACCAATGAGGGTCATGGACGCAGGGCTGTCATATACCTGCTCAGCATGTCTGGGCCCCAGGCAGCTCAGTCTCCTCCTACGACCTCAATTTACCTGTAGGACCTGGAACAGGGCAGGTACTCAGGGACAGTCTGGGTGAGTCAACCACTGGGCTCCTTGTATCTCAAAAGAAATCCTTTGTCCCCATATGCTCCATAGCAGTGCCAGCCTCAGGGTGACCAAGCCCACAAGGACAGATGTGCTCTGGGTTCTCTGGCCTCCTCCACCTCCTTTGGCTCCTCCAAATTTTCAAAAGCACTGGCCACTACCACATCCACCTCTTCTCAGGGTCACATGATTGTGTCTCGTTCACCTGAGCTGAGCCCAGACGAAGCTTGTGACCCATCTGTGTGATCTTCTTCTCTCTTCTTTTAAGGTCCTAGGGAGGGGAGTAGTCAGACACAAACCTGGGCACAAATCCAGCTGAATTGTGGAATCTGAGTCCCGTTCCCTTTTTCTCTGAGCTCATCTATGACCTGGGAACACTAATCCTTCTCTGGCTTTCCCAACTTGCCAAACACTCTGCCTCTGTCCATGTTGGGACTTACCCCAGCCTCGGTGAGCTGTGCAAATCCTGTCGCAGAATGGGGTCTGAGTAGTGAGGAGAGGCGTCGTCCGGGCAGAGAATCAGGCTCCCAACAGGGAACTGAAACTCAGAATTTCTGAGCAGCTCATGATTACCCAACCTCCTGCTGGGCACCTCCCTCACCCCACCCTCCTTGTTGACCCACTGAGAGGAGCCAGCTCAGACCTCACAGGCCAGGTACTTGCAGCCAGCTCACTTTGGGGAAGGAAAGACCAGCCACTGACAGATGGGGGTCTGTGGATAGACAGACCTCCAATCACCATGCCCAGCACCCCTAGGAACTGTACCTACCTCATCCATTGTACACACCTGCTCCCAGCACACCCGTCTCCCTGTCCCTTTCGCCATCAGCATGGATCCCACATGCTCTGCACCCCTCTGCATGTTTGGTGGAAGCCTGCTGAGGATATCCTGTCTGTGGACAGGGGGAGGGCAATGCTAGGGATGGAGCAGGGCCTTGCAAATACTGGTAAGTACTGTACCACAGAAAACAAGGTCCCCAGACTTTTACTTTTGCAGGATCTTCCTCCAGAGCACCTCCTCACCCCTGGACCTCTTATGTTCACCTTTCTCTGAGTCCTTTCAGCATCTCTAGACTCCACTGCTGTGCTCCCAGCTAGTGCCAGTGTTTGACCCCAAACCCCATCTTTTCTCCCTCTCAGAACCAGTATTAAGACCAATGACCCATTGAGCAATGAAAGAGGCTTTTATTCCTGATGAGAAGTGGGAGGCAGACTCCAAAGCCATCTTCTCAACCTGATAGGGGTGGGGAAGTCAGAAGTGTGAGGTGTAGAAAATGAGGATGAGAATGGGAAATCACTGACTTCTTTTCTGGGGATAGTTGAGATCTTCCTGGAATTTGGGCGCCACTGCTTTTCACTTTGTTGATTGCCTTTTTGAGCCATCCCCATGGCCATTGTCAAAGGTCATCTCGGGGGGCGGGTGTCACTTAGCATGCCAGTGGGATTAGAATGAAGGGAGAGATTGCCTGGTTGTCACACCCACAGCCACCTCAGGTGCAACCAGTTTCAGCTAAGGAAGCACCTCCTGCCCATAGGCGTCCTGTCTTCAAAGATAAATAAGCATAGGCAGGGTAGAAAATCAGCTAGCTCAGTGGGTAGTAGAAGCCTGGGGCAGAGGAACACTAGGGCACCTTTCGGGGCAGGGCCACTACCCGTCCAGCCTAGTGAGTCGCACAGCTGAGTTTCAGAGGAATTTTGTGCTTCACCCCAGGGAGAAGATGCCGGGAGAGCTGGGAGGGGGCCGGACCCCACAAGCCAGCCTGGGCCTGTCCTGCAGCGGGCAAATGTCGATGAGGCCTCATGCTCACATCCCATCCATGAAGGAAGGTCAGTGAGTGACCACACAATAAAGCTTGCATGGCTTTTACTGCTCTTTGATTGCACTGGTATTATAATTCCCTGAAGGGCTAGATTTTTCCTCTGTGTGTAAAATAGGCCGATGATAACTGTACATATGGATGGGGTCTGATTCTGCAAGTGAGGAAACTAGGTAAAGGGAAAGTCTGTGGCTTTCATTGGGAAAGTCAGAGGAGGAGCCAAAGCTCAACCAGTTTGATCTTGGTACATTTGACATCTGTGGCCACCATTCTTTGTGTAAGGGCTTTTTGTTTCATTTGTCACTGTTTTCTGTAACCTCCCTTCCCCTGATTCTTCCCTGTTTCACTAGCGTGTCTTTAGCTTAACATCCACACAAACACACAGTGAAGTGCAGGACCTATTGTAGACCCACAGGAGCTCTGGCCCCACCATGTGGATCCTCTCATCAGCAAGGACAGTGGACTAGGCCATCGTTGACAGGTAGAGCATGGTGTCTTGGTGGAACCTTGAAAATGAGCTGCAGACTCAGCTCAGGGCCAAACAGGTCTCTCATCTCCTGGGATGTGAACAGAGGCCATTCCACTGCAGATCCTGACATCTGCTACCAAACACCTCAGCTCAGCTGTTTGCTGACATCAAAGGAGAAGTTACCCAGGATGTCTGCAGCTCCACAGTTGGGGACCTGGAAAAACTCTTAGCTCTACAAGCAGCTTCTGCCCCCTGAGATGGGGATACTGATGCAGTGGGAAAGTGGCTCTGACACTGCTCTGGAGACACCTGGCAGAGAGCGCCACATCCCCCATGGAAGGGGGCGGGTCCATGGCCATGGCACCCAGGGACCCGCTCCGCTCACCCTGCCCAGCCCTGGAGAGGGGGGATCCACTCAGCCAGCTGCACGCTGACTTGGGTGGTCCAGGACAGGTACCTCATCTGTTCCTCTTTTCTCTAGGGACCATGGAAGGGATAACTAACATAAGTGTACCTTTTTAGTCACTTTTGAAGTGTGTTATTCAACAGCTTTCCTTGCATTCACATAGCAGTACCCTCATTGCCACCATCCTTAAAACTCTTTTCAACTTGCAAAACTGTAATCTGCATCCCTTCAATGATAACTTTGATATTTAAAAATGAATTGTGTGGCTCCTGTGAAATCACCCTCTGTCCTTCCCTCATGGAGGGAGTCCTTGCCATGTGACATGGGACCTCTGAAAAGGTCATCAAGTTACCGGGAGAGACCAGCTTTCTAGGACTGACAAGCCCAGGGCTGGTGAGGTGACTGTACCTGTTACACTTTCAGGGTACAGGCCAAACCCAGACACAAACAGTAGGGTCAACAGTTTGTGAACCACCTGATTCAGTATCTCCGGTCAGTTCAGGACACATACAGGAACGAGATGCTGGCCGGACGGACAGCAATCACAGACTGCCCGTGCCTGCAACCCCCTAGGGGGTCCAGGCACAAGTAAAGCACAGATTTGAACCACTGGACCAGCAGCTCTTGGAGCACTCACTCACTCAGCTCAGGGCAAGTGCAGGGAGGGGCTGCACATGCACCCCGGTGAGAGCAGTCCCCGGGGCTTCTGAGTGAGGACCTCCTGTCTGGCTCTCTCCGTGAGTTTCAGCTGGGAACCGTGGCGGTGGGAGTAAAGCACGGACTCGAATCCCGGGACCAGTAGCTCTTGGAGCACATGCTCACTTGGCACAGGGCGAATGCATGGAGGGGCCATCCCCCACCACCCAGCTAGAGCAGCCCCTGGGGCTTCTGAGTGAGGACCTCCTGTCTCGAAAATTGGGGCTTTTAAAGCTAAATGTTGTGTCCACTTCTTCATGCAGAGAGAGGCAGCTGCGGCTCCTGGCTCTGGTACTGAGGAAGTTTCAATAGAACCAAACAGTTATCTTTTTTCTGGGCATACTGGTGGAACAAAGCCTAGCAGACCTAACACTGTATATTTCCTGGCTTCTCTTCTACTCTGCTTATATGTTAGGCTCCTTCTGTGCTTTAGAGGAATGTGGATGAATTGCCCTCACAATTTGGCCAAACGGAATAAATCCATATTTCCATTTTATGGACTTTTCCTTTGGATAGCAGGTATGCAAGCAAATCCAGAGAGTAGCAGCCCAGATTCAGGCCTCTGGCCAGGTGCTCCCAAAATCTGGTGATCACAAGGGATCAGGAGGCCTGTCTAGCTTAAAGAAAGAGTTGTCTCCAGCTAGAGGGCAACCTTTTCTACAGTCCTGCTATCCTCTCCTTCCCAGGAAGGGCTGGGTCTCTTCCTGGAGTCCAGCTTTCTGACCACACACTCCTCAGTCACTTCCCTCCTGTGATCAGAAGCCAAAGGGATAGGCTGTAACTACTTAATAGGTCCCTCTTGCATATCTCTGTCTTCCTGAGAAACCACTCTGAAGATATCACCACGTATTACAGCAGCCATTGATATTTTCCTACTAATCTATCCATAACTGTGTAAAGTTTGTAATGTTCCTATCCTATTTCATAAATGGATGTATGTTTATTATTATGTGTTTCCTACAACAACCATTGAGAATAGTTAATGATTTTTCAATAGGTCACTCATGTATAGCTCTATTTATTTTCTTTAGAAGCCACTTTGAAGATACCAAAGTATAGTACAACAACTCTTGATAATCTCCTACCTCTTTTGTCTGTAACTCACTATTATTTGTCTATTTGTTTTCCTGAGAAACTATTTTGTAGACAATAATATGTAAAATGATAACCATTGATAATTTCCTACCATTTTGTCTGTAATTTGCTAAGTCCCCCCTATTATTATGTTATCCATCTTTTATTCTTTAAAATAAAAAAAAAAACAAAAAAAAACAAAACAGAAGCCAAAGGGAAAAAAGTCTTTGACCTCCTGTTTGGTGATTTTGCCAAAGCTCAATTCCAGACTGTATGCCAGCTGAAATGTGGACATCCAGTCTTAGAGGCACTGCTGGTGCTCCCAGGCGGTCTAATTTCCATCAACCAAGGTGCACATGTCAGTGTTGCTGTTCACAATGGCAGGACTTTGGTCCAGTTCATCTGAAGATTTACCTTTCTCATCCACACGGACCTTGCTGCTCCCCAACACTGGCTGTGAGGGATTCTACCACCTTGGCTGTTATCTTCCCCTCTTCCCACCAGACAATCATTTTATCCAGGGGCCACTGAAGGGAAAGTTCTTATTTATCTTGCCTCAGAGTTGCAAAAGCGCAAGACTGCTTTGAGAAGAAAGCCAAAAAGCACCATGTTCCAGAATGGCAGGGGCCTAGAAAATCTGTTCCTCAGAATTGGATTCAGAGTGCTCAGAAATCCAGGCACTCAGTCTGTAAAGCCAGGAGAGAGGGAAGCCTAGCTACTGTTCCAGCTGGCAGCAGACCCTGGTATTATCCATGTGGTTCTGGTTTTAGATGCATGCAGAATGCAAGAGTTAGGGGGTTAAGAAGGCTTCCACACAGATTTTAGAAGTCCTGGAAGGCCAGGCAGTTTGCCACTGAGAGGACAGTGCATGAAGCTGTGAGGGTGAAGCCAAAGGTGCAGTGGAGATCCCAGAAGTTTAGATAAACAAGGAACATGGCTCATGTGAGGAAAACCACAAGGAGAGAACAGGTCAGGACCAAGAGAGAAGAAATGGGAGCTAGAACCACTAGAAGTGCCTTAGGTGCAGAGCCACCCAGGCTCTTTGGAGTTCACAGCCTGCTACAGATTGCCTC